CTCAACTGGGATTTTTTTTCTAAATGTTCTGAGGCCCTAGCATGCTTAGCATATACTTTGTGTTACTCATGTCAGGGCTAGCAGGCACACACCACTCTTTGAATGCTCCACTCACCACATGCCCAGTGAGCCCACTCCAAACACAAAAGAGAATGCTGGTGACAGAGAAGGGAAAAGACAGACAAACAGAATGACTGGGATAGTTAGAGAAACAGAGATCATGTGCTATGGGTCTTGTGGGCTTCGGCGACGAAAGAACCAAAGAAGAGTGGAAGGACAGTTACAGGGGACAGGATTGGTGGCATGTGGGTCAGTGAGATGGTGCTTCAAAGGCTTGGCTCTACAGGGTGGCTGCAGTACAATATCTATAGTAGTACCAGTATCTTTTGAAGCAAATGAGGGGGAAAACGGGTGCCTTGACTCAGAGATGGGGGAAGGCATTGTTATACTTAGTACAGTCTATGAACCAAGGAAGACTTTCCTCAGTCTCCCTGAAAGGTAGGTTATCTGGCAACTGTCTGAGTTCAGGGGTGATGTGGTGAGGGTGACAAACAAAAGCCATGTCCATCTCAATCCCACTATGGTCATGATTGCCCTTGGATAGTCTAGCTGCTGGGTTCTCCTGAAGGACCCCACAGGCATCTGCCAATCTGCTGCCTGTAGGACTTTCTGAATGCTGTGGAAAGAAAGGTCACACAAATACACCACCTTCTCCATGGACAAAAATGTCCACATGTAAATAATGCCAGACGTATAGAGACCCCACTTTCCTCCAGTGTTGGACACAGTGGATGGGGTACACATCCCCCTGGGGCTTTGCAGCCAGGACAATGCCCCATAAATATGATATGTCTTGGAATCCTCACTGCGAACATGAGCATATTACTCATGAGACAATCAGTTATCCAGATCTTTCCATTCAGTGGATAGAGCTTGCTTTTCTCTGCCATCACTGAAACTGGCATTCTGCTGGACTTCCTTCATGATGTGGGTCAATTGGATTGCAAATTCAATAGGGAATAGTTGATATATGGAATTGGTTGATTTCAGGTGGCCTGGGGAACACAGGCCTTGTCTACACTGGAGATGGGGTGGGAAGGGGAGTACGCAACTTCAGATACGTACTTAGACCTACTCACCACGATGTCGTCATTGTGGTGAGTCGACTGCTGCCGCTCCCCCGTCGACTCTGCCTGTGCTTCTCGCGGCGCTGGAGTACAGGAGTCGATGGGAGAGCGCTTGGGGGTCGATCTGGCGGGTAGTGTGGACATACGCATAGAGTACCATTCTCTGTAGGTGGCACCCCTGACTGTTATCTTTGAATTGTCTCCTGCCTGAGAAAATATTAAGTGTGAAATCCTCGTACCATTGAAATCAATGGTGAAACTGCCACTGATTTCAATGGGGCCAAGATTTCACCTAACAGAGTACCCTAATTTTTTTTGACCACTTTGCTATCTCCCTCCTTATTCCATCTTGTATGCCATTGATAGATCACCGAACAGGACGTATTGTATTGTAGCATATTGTACCATAACCCTGTTGCAGGATGATGCTCAGAGTTCTGAGATACTAGAATCAAAGGATGTTTCCTGATCTGTTTTTGCATTTTATAACTGTAACAATTCTGAGTCAGAGTTTGCTGCAGGTGGCTCTTATCTGGAAGTACATTCCTTTTCTGATTTTTCCTGCAAGCAGCTTAGACATGTAAAATTAAACTGAAGAGAGGGGTTTCCCCACATTTATCTGGGCCAATTGTGCTTTTGAGATGCTTTGCCCGGTTCCTGCTCTTTGTGAGTTCCTCCTACTACCCAGTATTTATCACAGAGCCCCAGTATGGCTTGCTGATGAGTGTTGGGAGCCAGGGTAGTGTAGAAAACATCTGGCATTTGGCAACTAGTGGGCACAGCAGTGCTAGATGCCATAGTCTTCAGCCTTCTGAAAATCTAAAAAGAAGAGAAATTAGCTGGCACTAGAGCACCAAGCAGGCATGGGAGCCCGCAGAGGAAACTATATGTTCAGAAATCTGGTACATGCCTACAATTTCCACAATAGCCAGAGGGGAGTATGTTACTTTCTGCTGTGTGCCCCAAATTCACCTTTTGAAATTTTCCCTTTACAAGTACACACAAAACCCTTCCCCCATAAAAAACAATACCTCATGTTACAGGTACAATGCCATTTGCTGTATTTACAATATATATCATGTCTATAGGGAATGAAGAGGTGAATGTAATCTTATCCTTTCTTTTTCATATGAATTACCATCAAGTTCAGAGTGTGTTCAAAAGAGAGAACTGGAATCTCCAAAATAAGGCATTCTAATTTCATGATTACAGTCACATTAGAGCCATCAAAAATGAAATATTTTCATTTGGTTCATATACTAAATGCCAGTGAGATTTTCAATAGCTATCCTGAAATTACTCAGTGTAAGGTATTTCCTACCGAATATTTCCTTCATACTGTGTTTTCACAGTATGAAGGAAATATTCGGTAGGAAATACCTTACACTGATATACATTAAAAGGTTAATTATTCACCTAACATATAATTTTAAGATTAGAGTGTTGACATTTTTTTATTCAAAAAGGGAAAATGCATAACGAATAATTTAATCTTGATTTTTTTTTTCTTGGAATGATATGATCTTTTTCTCCCCTCCACAGGTAATTAAGCTCCATAAAATTCAGAACTGAATCCAATAGTTAAATAATTCATTGTATATTTAACAGACAAGCTGTATTTTTACTTATTGAAGGTACAATTAAAAATACATAAAATTTTCATTCATATTGCATTTAATTGGAAAGTTCTATGCCAATTATAGTACAAAAGTACTCTTGCCCTCATTTAAAGTTTTTTTTAACTCCTACTTTATTTTTCATTAAAATGTTAAATTAAAAGAAACCATCATTAAGCAACAGAAGAAGTTGTCAGTAAACCTAGCAGGCAGTGTCTATTAGCATTGTTAAGTGCACTTTAGGGAAATGGTTCCCATGGATTCATTTTTGAAAACAACCATTATGGAAAAAACCTTGAAAAATTCTATACAAACGTTAATGCATATGTCTTACCCTAGTATCTGTTTTAACAAATAAACCCATTCTGACCTTCAAGACAACAAAATTGGTGATCTTAAAGAATAGGGAAAATGTGTACCTGACATTATAGAGTGTGACAGTTTTAAACTATGATTTTTGTTTCTTCAAGAGGTATTTCATTTATAAGTAAAAATGTTAATGGTGGTTTCATTTGGAGGCTTGGATGGCTCAGAGAAATGTTCGCATGGCAGCAAGGCACAGAGCTCTGGAACTATATGTCACCAGCTTGACTCCAGTGTGGCCCAAAGTCATAACCATGTCAAGCAGGATGTTACGTTCCAGGATAACAGGTCAGTATGTACATCTATGGATATACAAACGGTCTGTTTAAAGAAAGAGTGGGAGTAGGACCTGAAGCAAGACTGAGCTTTATGGAACCAGGTCTTCTGGGTTCTGTTTTGAATCAGTTACCACTGATTCGGTGAATAAAGCTGGGAAAATCACTGAACCTCTCTGTGCTTTGGTTTAACCAGCCATATAATGGGTTTACTCCTACTTACCTACAGTATCTCCCCAGTCTCATTTCATTAATATTCCTAATGCTTTGAGATCTTCAGACTTGCCAAATGGACCCTCTTCATGAGGGACACTAAGCTTTGGGACTCAATCCCCTGTCAGGGCCTGATAAAGGCATAGGCACTTTAGACTTGTGCTTAGGATCTCAGATATGGAGGTCATATGATGAGGGGCATAATCTCAGTATTTATTAATTTTTTTTTCTAAACTATGGTTTCAAAGAAAAGCTTGACAACATGACTGGAGGGTAACCGATGCAGTAATGTCTGCCTGAGTCTGCAAACAGCCTGAAACAATAGCTCCAAGAGAGGAGAACTGTGTCCCGTTAATAGTGCACATATGCCCAATCAGCACAAAACCTGCCATCTTAACTGCCTTTATTAAAATGTAGCCCAGTATTCTAGAGTCATTACTCCAAATGCTGCAGTGTCTCTATTATAAGAGTTTGTGTTTTGCACCATGGACATAGAACAGTGATTCCCAAACTGGTTCTCTAAGCATTTCCTTGTGGTATGCAGAGAAGAAGACTGTTACATGGCACATTCTCACCTGTTTCCAGAGTCTTCTAAAGGTATCCAGGCTCTTCCTTGAAAAGAAGAACCTGTAGATCTTTAAAAACAATTGAATGAAAGGAGGAGCAGCAGCCTAACTGCATTTGCTAGGAGATGCTGCTATACAGAATGAGGAAGAGAAGAAACTGGAATAATCCACACTGTTCACAGCCACTACTGGAAGTACAGCTGCCAGGCACCTGTACACAGGAATGTTCAGGCAAGCATAGAACAAGGTAACCATGCAATTCAAGATGTCCAAGGGAGCAGGAAAAGAAGAGAACCAGGTGTCTGGACAGCATGTCCAGGGGAGAAGGGAATTAAATGACTGGGTAGCATGTGCAGAAAGAAAGGAGATCAAACCGGGGAGCAGAGTGGGGAGAAGAAAAGGATAGATAAGACCAGGTCAGTGGAACAAAAAGCAAAACTAGACAGAACAATTAACTTAAACAAACCTAAAATGCAACATTAAATGTGGCTAAAATGCAATAAATGCTTTCCTAATTTTTCTTCTCCATGTAAATAATCACTGTAAATGCCATAGGGTTCTTGTATGACCATTGTTGGGAAGTTAAGTGAGGCCACAAAAGACAGGAGAGGTGTCCACAAGCCAATCTGTCCATTAAAATGTGACTCGTACTATGAAAACTCCCCTACTACAGAACGCTATGATATTGTTATGGCAAGTATCACCAGGTGACACTGTTACACATAACCTTCAAAGCTCTTTCAGAAGGTATGTCTACACAGCAAAGAAAACCCTGTGGCTGGCCTGTGCCACCCAACTCAGGCTCACAGGGCTCAGGCTGAGCAGGCTGTTTCAAGAATAACCTGACTAGCTCAGTGGGTAGAGCATGTGACTCTTAATCTCAGGGCTGTGGGTTTGAGCCCCACGTTGGGTGTTTGAGCTTGTAGCCTTAGCTCTCACTCTGGGGGGATAACTCAGTAGTTTGAGCATTGGCCTACTAAACCCAGGGTTGAGAGCTCAACCCTTGAGGGGGCCATTTCAGGATCTGGGGCAAAAATCTGTTTGGGGAGTGGACCTGCATTGAGCAGGGGGCTGGACTAGATGACCTCCTGAGGTCCCTTCCAACCCTGATATTCTATGATTGCAGTGTAGACTTCTGGGCTCAGGCTTGAGCCTGAGCTCTGAGACCCCTTTCACCTTGGAGGGTACTAAAGCCTGGGCGCCAGCCTGAGCCCAGACTTCTACATAGCTGTGAAACAGCCCCACAGCTGGGGCCCTGTGAACCCAAGTTGGCTGACGCAGGCATGTAGTTGCTGTGTAGACATACCCTTAGTGTGCTTCTTGGAAGACATGCAGACTCCAGCTGGGGGTATGGATTCTGGGCTGGGGTTAGGGTGTTGGGGGAGTGTGGACTATGGGAGGGGACTCTGGGTTGGGGCACAGGGTTGGGGTTCAGGAGGGGGTGTGGGGTTCCAGTGGCGGTTACTGCGGTTCCCGGAAGAGTCTGCCAGGTCCCTACAAGCCCTAGACACATGGGAAGCCAGGGAGGCTCCATG